GAATTTGACGGATGGCGGTGTGTATGAGGTGCGAATTCAGGCCAGAGCAAGAAGCATGTTCCACAAGGACTTGGTGTACGAGGGGGCCTATTCAGAGACGAGAAAGACACTCGTCACTGTCGATTGCCTGTGAGTTTAATCACTGCTGGTCCTGCCCCCCCCCCTTTTTTTTAGATGGAAATTTGGCTGAGGGGTTTTTACTGCTGAGAGCGACATCTCTTTTCATGTTTTGGCGTTGCAGAGCTTCTTGGACGTCTTCGTCGTCGTCGTCTTCTTCTTCGAGTTTGGGAGAAAAGGTGTTGCGTCCAACTGTCCTTTTGGCAGCTGTGGTGACTTGTGGAGGCCTTGCTGTGCTTTTGGCCACATGTGGCCTCCTGCTTTGGAGGTGACCTTTATTTTTTTACTAGAAAATTTCCTGCTTTTGAATTGCAATAGAAATCAAGAATTTTTTTTATATAGAGAAAGGGTCAGAAATATTTTTTGTTGGAAATTTTATAACCACACAAATATGGTTCAACTGTGATGAGTTCCTTTGAAGTAATTGTGTGGTATATGAATCATCATTTTCCTCAAAAATATGTCAAATTTATCAATTCTTAGTTGTTGCTTAATGATTGATATTCTAATCTTCAGCTGTTTATTCCAAGGATTTGATGTACAAACTTATTAGTTCTGGATTATATAAAAGAAAACATTTTACTGACCAGCATTTTTCCTTTCGGTTTGGAAAATGAAATTATGTGGTAGTGGGGATGTCACTGTTTCATCCTTTTTTTTAATGTTTGGCAAGAATTTCTATTTTGAATTTTTTTGGGTGAATTTTGGATAGTTTGTTGGAAAATTTTAGCTTGAGTATAGATTTTTTTCAAGCTTCCATGTGGAACTGAATCAGAGGCAAACATGTCCTTTTTGATGAGTTAATGTAAATTTGAGATACTGTGTTGATGAGCAGCAGTGACATCTATACTCTCTCTAAGATAAGGTTGCACTACAATGGACAGTTAAGCTTTGCAAGTCCCAAAATACAGTACAGTACTGTAAATGTGTATTTTTTGGGATTTTCATGTGATATTCAGGAAAAACGTGGCAGCAGCACACGGTTCACCACCCGCAAATGGCGGTGGGAAGGAGAATGTGGTGGCAGCAGCCATGACGCACGAGGACGGCAATGACGACAGCGCCGACTGGCGGGCGATTCCAGCAGCACTGTTCCCCGCGCATGTGGCCCGCATGCATGCAGACTGTGACGCAGGCTTTTGCACAGAATTTGCAGCATTGCAGGATGCTGCTGCCGATGCTGCTGTTGCTGATGGCACCACCTACAACCTGGCCCAGAGGCCTGCCAATAGGGACAGGAATAGATACC